ATTGGGGGAAAAACAGACAAAAAAATAAATAAAAAAATAAAAAATAAATAAAACCGACAGACAAACCCCAACAACTAATGTTTGTAAAAGCTTGGTTTGCATTTTATGCTTGTTTGACCCTAAGCTCCTACATTGTATTAAAGTAATTCAGAGATTACTTTGAGTCCAATTGTAGTTTTGAAGGAGCATAGCTGAACAGTCAAACAAAACATGAACACATCTGTAAAGATATTAAGAAAAGAGCTATGATCATTTTTTAATATCTATTAACAGAGTATACTACATTTTATTTTTTATTTTGAAACAAAACAAAACGGTTAAACTTTGAACAAAAGAGCATAACATTTTAAAGTCTTATAACCTAAACAAACCTCCAAGTTTTGGCATTATGTTACGTCATGGAGAGGAATTTAGTGAGAACAATACTATATGTTTAAGCCTAATGGTGCAAATAAAGCAAACTCGTGTTTTCTTTAATCATCATTYTAAACTTGAAGCATTACTTACTTGTTTAGCTGTATGCAGCACATCTGTAGCAGTAGCGGTTAGCTGTACAGCCTGGTAATTTCCAGGACTTGCGGTCATACTGAGAGACAAAGATGCAACCAGCTGGACTCCTAGTTCTGTGATTGTCACCTAAACAAACCAATATGGTATTTAGAGAGGCTAGCAAATTAAAAGTTTGACTTTGTCTTGTCTGAGATCCTTAAAAAGGTTGATCTTGAATGCTATTAGGCTCAAAATTGTCCCCTGGAATGATCAATGTGTCACTTGCTACAGAGCTGAGAGACAAAAGTAAAATGGGAGAATAAGATGTGGTATTGTTATAATATGCAGTAGGAAACTCTGGATAGGGAGAACAGACAACACAAAGGAAGATTATAGAATAAGTAAAATAAAACTGTCATGTTGATTTATAAACAAGGTTTAGATGTTTGACGCAGAAATAGTTTGAAAACACGTCTTCCTATAACCAATAAATAAATAAAACTCACTGAACATGACGATATGCAAACCATATAAAACCATTAGATAAAAAACTCTCAGATCTAATATAAATACTTTAAAATATTTATTAAATGAACCAATATGACACTTAATGGTAATTTAGTTATGTCATTTGAAAAACTGTTTTAAAAACAGAACCAAATCATTTTTTTCCACAGGAAATCTATTTTTTGGTAATTGTGTAAATAGAGACTCGTAGCTTGGGTGAATGAAAAATATTCAACATGTCTTTACCTTATCATCCACTACAGTCACTGTCTTTTCTGCCAGGATCGTGTCAGACAAGGGGGACATAACCTATAATAAAAGAGAAAATAAGACATACATGTTAAAGCAAAAGGTAAATAAAGTAAAAAAAGATAGAGTAAATATGCAAAAAACTGAAAAATTCATCAGTAAAAAATTATAATTTCATTTGGGAACACATTTTATCAGAATTTATTTAYTTGTTTATTTTAGAGATCTGTGATCACATCCCTAAATGAAGAGAAAGTGTTGATACTACTATAATACTGTATATTATACTATACATAATTACTATGGTGCAGTATGAGGGCCAAAATTAAGACTACTGTGCAACCAGCAGTTGCTAAATCCTTGTAGGATGAGGCTTACTCTATTCCTAAGCCAGCATATTGATCTGAATAATGATAGGCCGGCACCAATAACTGAGCAGCTGGCCCCGGAACTGAGA